AGATTTCAGCTGCTTTGAGGGGTTCTTTTGTTTTATCAAGCTGGAAAACAGCTCGTGTGGGAAAACCAGCATTTTGCACATATAATTAGGAAGGCAGGATACTCTGTTTCTGGAGATGCACGGTCAAGAGCTGGAAGATTTCGACACTTACTGAAACAAATAGCTTTTGAACATGTGAAATTGCTCCTGAATATATTTTGATTACAGTGTGAGCATGGTAATAAAGGAGTCCCTTGAGAAAGAAAAGATTTGGATTCAAATATTAATATCGTTTGGCTGGGAACTGATTATCTCCCAAGCTAGAGCTGTTAGGTTTCTCATTGATTAAACCTTTCTGCTGGCTTATGGAAAGAGTCAGAATTGGGGCTACCCTCTGCAAACAGGGTGCTGAGCCCTGCTTCAGGCAGAAACACCACTTGGTCCCACACTGGTCAGTGACAATCTCCCTTTTAGCCTCCAATGTGACTTTTGATTTTGATCCCAGACCCTTTGCATTTCATTGTTGTTTCGACTCCTTTTCTTGACTCCTGTAGGCATTGCTGGCATACGCTGTGATTCCAGATCCTGGCACTGCCCGTCAGTTGAGATATCCCTAATAGCAGTATCAGGTCTCCAAACACAGGGAAAGGAACAGTTTTATTACACTGTGTCTATTTTATTGCACTGGCTTGTGGAGTTCAAGAGGGGCTCAACCTACAACCAAAAGGCTTTTCTTCTTTTTAAAGGGTTCTGAAACTTTATTCTGCTTTTCTGGATGGACACAGAAGTCTTCCTCTCCATTTTGTGCCTTGTGACCAATGACTGGGTTTGTGGACATAGTCAATACTTGCTGTACCATTGCTAATTCTGCCAACTGCATCGCAAGTGTTTTGATAACTGCATGATTTTTTGTTGTTGTTCAATCCCACTTCCAGGGCCAAGATTTTTAATATTTTATTAAAAAATAAACACATTGTTACTGAAAAAAAGCTGTAAATGAGAAGCCAGATGCCGTTGAAGTCTCAGTACTCAGTCAGCTCTCCCCCCCAAACTGCACAATCTTTTTTTTTTTTCATAAATTTTAGAACAATCTGATGAATTTTGAATCTTTGGCACTGACAAGTCTGATATTACATTAGTCTTTTATTGAATGTTCTCAAACTGCAAAACAGTTCCCCCATTCATAATGGAGTACAGTTCATAAAAAAAAAATCCATTAACATTAATGAGGTAGTTAAATTTAAAAAAAACACACTATAAGAAAATCTCTGAAAATTATATAGCTGGTTTTCTGCTACTAGTCACTCAGCCACTGTTTACAGAAATTCAGTAAGTTTCTTTTAGAAAGCCAGAATCAGAGCCTTGAAGAACAACCAAAGCTGAACCTTGGCCTCTGTTCCTTCAGAATTGTCTTTAAAAGAAAACAAGAGGAAAAAAAGGAAAAGGTTTGCACTCTAATCAGCTTCAGCAGCTTCTCTCTCCACAAAAGTTGAACGGTTTATCAAATATATTGTGCAGCTTCTTCATCCACTCAACAGAGACAAATCTGCCTCTCACTTCTTAAACATTATCAGGAAACATTATGTAGAAATAATGTAAAAATTAGAGAACACTGCAGTGCCACCATTGTGTACAGTCTAATACAAAGTGTACACTCCGATATAGGCAGCAATTAAATGGCTGTCAGATGGTCTGCAAAATTAAAGCACCCTGATCCTCTGCATCATTTGTTTACCTGCATCCATCTCTATATGTAGCATAGTGAAGCTCATCAAGTTCATCCAGGCTACTGACAAACATAAAGTCAAGCACACAGAAAAACCATGAAAGGGCTAGGGCAGAGTTCAGAGCCAACTGAAATGATTTTGTCTTTGAGAAACAAGGCATGCATACCTAATAGTAAAATTACGATAGCTTAGCAAAATGAAATATATGTAGGTATATGTATACAGTCTCATGCTAATAATTAATTTGTCTTGTAAAGGGTAAGCACTGTTGAAAGTACTTTAAAAAAATTACTAGCAACCTCATATAGAGGTTGCTGTCAAACAGAATAGAACTAACTGCGATTGAGATCTGTAGCAGTAATTGATATAAACATTGACATTAATGCTGAGATACTTACATGGAAGAATTCAGCACCTCATAAACCTCTTTCCATGCAAAAACTGACCTTTTAAGCTAATGACAGAGCTGCCCGTCTCTTGCATGGAAACTCAGCATACGCATCACTGCTTTTTCTCCAGCTGCCAGAACGAATCCCTTTTCATTCTTACTCTATATCCTTTTTAGGACAGTTGCAGCTCATGATAATGACAAAACAATAACAAAATAGAATACTGTTAGTTCTTTAATCAATAAAATGTCCTTTCCTGACTCTTGTCTGAATAGTTTGTGCTAGAAATTGGCTGAGATCACTGCAAATCAGTATAATAAAATGATGATGACCAGTTCCTTTGTAGAAAATGAAGCAATAAAGAGCTTTTGTGTTAGCTTTATGTTTTTATTGATAGATACCATACTGGAGACCACACACATTACCGTTATATATGAGAAAAAACATAGCTGTTTCAACAGACAAAAAATAAAGTGCAGTTGATTCATCGGCTCCTTTAAGAGGACTGGCATCTGGACCACATGCACTTCAAAGTCAAATGCTGTACTGAGATGTGCTGCTTTGAAGTACAGCTGCTGATCCAGACAAATTTTGGAGCCTAAACCAGCATATGAATCTGCTGTACTCTGAAAAAAAATCTATTTCAGATGCCAGTTTTGACTCATTTTAGAAAATTGCTGTCTGGATCGGCTGAACTTCAAAGCAGAACATCGCAGTGCAGCGTTTCCCTTTGAAGTGCAGCTAATCCAGATAGTGGGTTTTCTCTCCCCCCCCCCCCCCCCTTTTTTTTTTATGTTTA